TCAGCTGAAGAGAGAACTGATTAACTGGGATATATATCTGGAAAAAAATGACTCAGCATACTTCAGAGAGAGAGAAAAGAATAGAAACGATGAAAGAGAGGTTAAAAGAAATAAAGAGTAGAGTGAGAAAGTTCTATTTGTTTTCTAATAGGAGTTCCAGATGAAAACAGTAAGAAAAAGGTAATATTCAAAGAGATAAATGGCTAAGAATTTTCCAGGCCAGTAAGACAAAAATGCTCAGAGGAATTGCAATCAATCCCAAGCAGGGTAATAAATATCTCCACTTTGAGATTATAATGAATATGTAAAATGCCAGAGAAAAACAACTTACCTGTATGGAACTACAATTAGATTTACCACAAGCTTTTCAATAGCAACAATAGACGTCAGAAATTTGTATAATACTGTCTCCAAAGTATGAGAAAAATAACCATCGACTTAGAATTTTGTTACTAAATAATAATTCAAGAATGAAGGTGAGGTAAAAAAATACATTGTTATCCAAATAAAAATCAAGAGTATTTGCTACTAACGTGTCCTCACTAAAGACATTTCTCTAGGATTTCCTTGAAGTAGAAATATTATCCTAGAAGGACATATGAGACACAAGGAGGAATAAAGAATTGGCCAACATGTGAGTAAATGGCTGGACATAATAAAATCAGATTTTATGTATAAAATTAGATTATTTCCTAAGGTGGCTTGAGGGCACTTAGGTATTCATAATTTTATTATTTCTTCCTTTTGTGGGGGTAATTTTTTAATAGTGAAGGGAAGACAGTTCTAGGTAAAAGTCCTGAGGTTGGAAAGAGCTTGATGTATCTACAGAACTGAAAAAGGCTAGTGTATCCAGAACATAGTGAGTAGTAGTACAAAATGAAGCTAGAGAGGTCTCAAATGCCATTTTAAGGATTTGTCACAGTCAACAGGAAGTCACTAAACGATTCCAAAAAAAGAGTTTAAACAATCTAAATTACATGTTAAGATAATAATTCTGGCTGTTCTATTTGAGAGTACCCAATAAGTATTAAGACCTGACATATGGAGTCTAAACGTTTATTATTGTATTTCTCACTGGCCCTAATTTATCCAAGATTTATTTAACTTTTAGAATTACCAAAGGCATAATTCTCTCCAGCACACCTGATAATATTCAGAAATTACTCCTCTGTACTGGACCACATTAGATGCATATTATTGTAACAGAACCAGTGGGTTCTATTGCTCTGGGTTCTATTGCCTGCTGCCAATAAGAACCATGACTCCCAATGCCAGGGTCTTATAAAAAGGAAAGGAACTACTTATTTTAAAAGTTATACAGGTTTAGAATAAGGGTGGAATTCTGTCGTTAAATCCCATGCCCTTTAGAAACAAACAAAAAAACGCTATGATCACACAGTCCTGCCATGCTTCTTCCTCTTGTCAAACTAGGCCAATCAGGAAACTGCACCCTCATGGTGGGCCAGTGCGGGTCCTTCTGCATCCTTTCAACCTGCATGGTCAAGACCCCTTTTTCCTCTCCCAAGTCACATGGTTAAGTGCTAGAGAGAGAGAGAGAGAGAGAGAGAGTGAGTCAGCTTCTCATGGCTCTCCTATTCTCCTTCCCATGTGGTCCAGAGCTCTAGCATGACTGCTCCACTTGTGTTTAAATCCTGGGGTGGATCTTCCTCTATAACTCTGTTTCTGATTTCTCCCACATTGGATTATGCCTGCCAGTAGTCTGGTTTCTTCTGTTTTTCTTGGCTGCCACTGTTAGTCTGGGCAAGCATGGCCCTATGATGTAGGAGCCATTTCCAGGCCACTCACACAGATGCAGCAACTGGAGGACCTCCCCACTGCATCATGAGTTAGAGTCACACCCATCTCCCAGGCTCTGAGCATGAGCATGGCAGGCACAGCTTTTAGCATTACTGAAACACTGGCCAAGTTGTTTAGGTATGCTAAGTAACTCTCAATGGCCCTACTCCACTTCCCTCATCCCCCAATAGCTGTGGGGGTTTTCTCCACTTTGGGGAGCCTCTAGCTCAGCACCCCATTATATTATGACCAAAGAAGAACGCCTATGCAATTAGATTGTCATTATTCAAATTACAGAGCAGACATCCTAGTAGAAAAGGGGATTATGGCTACTTGCTAGAGCACTAGTGAGTACAGTGAAAAACGTGAAAGTTTCAAGGAGTAATTAGTGGTTCAAAGGCTAAGCCATGAAGAATGAGGAGCATATGAGTGGATGAAAGGGAATAAGTGAGCATTCCAAGTAGAGGAACAGGGAAACCACTCACAGAACTGTAGAAGATTCAGCATGTTACATGGGAATATTGGCTCAATAAGTACTATAAGTTTCATTATGGATTCGTAGCAGAAACTATTGGATAGGTAGCATGGAGATAGGTTAAGGAATCAGTATTTTTTTTTTCCCCTAGGAAAACAAAGTATAAGGATTTTTGATCAGGGGTGATATGGGATCAATACATGGCCCTTCCCCCTCCCATCCATGACTGAGGGCTAGTCAAAGGGTTGTCACACTGCGCGGTGGCTAGATGGGGTGTACCGCTACAGGGGAGCCCCGCAGAGAGTGCAGCATTCCCTGAACCTGAGGGAAACTGACTGGGGCCAGCTGAGATGGGAGCAGGGCTCTGAATCCTGCAGAGCCCGTCCCGGGGTTGTCACAGATGAGGGGGAACAAAAAACATTACAAACACTTTTCTGTTTGCCAGGAGAGCAGACGGGAGCACTTCCCTCTTACTGGAGAAGGCTGTGGCACATCCCTCTGGTGGAGAAGGCCCCATCACCCTTTGTTCCAAGGTTTTTATTGAAAGTCTTATCAGTGGGGCTGGATAACAGGAATGCATATGTTATCTCATTACATTAGTATGTTAAGTTTCACAGAGAATATGTGCTTTTAAGAAGACAAATGACAAGAATACACTGATTTACATGGGTCCTAGAGGAGACCTGTATAAACAAAAGAGAATGAAGATAAGGGCAAGCGCCTTAATGATATAGAGTAAGGAGTGTAAATAATGTAAATGTCCTTCACAGCATGAGCTGGCCAGAGATCTGAGGAAAGAACAAAGCACATTTAAAGAAATTACTTTTAGGGCTGATTTCCCTGGCAACCACCAGACCTGATTTAGAGCTGACTCCTGCACTGTTTCAAGCTTGAGCCAGGTGTGGGGAGGGAACCACCAAGAGATAAGGAGACTGCTTCTAAGCTACAATGAGGACTCTGGCTGTGTCCGAGCCAAGCCGAGAGGTGGGGGGGGGGCGCTTTTTGCCCCTTCTCCATGTTCCCCAACATCTTGTCTGCTGCCTATATCAGTCGATGCCTGGTTTAGGTTGCCCCTCCCCCGAGGGGTCTTACCCATCATTGACAGGGACCATCACAAGGCAAAGCAGAGAGACAGAAGCTATGCCCCTGCCAGGGGGAGACAGACCATGTCTCCTCAGGAGCCTGTTTCTCCAATTCCTCCTGATTATTTCCAGCCTTGGGGCCCTCCAGCCTGTTGGCAGGGTTACAGCTCCTGAAATCAGGCCGGGCGTTTCCCAACAAAGGGTCTCTGGCAGAAGGGATGTATATTATTTTGGGAATGGATTATAGCTCCTTCCTTATCTCCTTTTGGGAGTAGCTTCTTGTCCTAATGCTGCTTCTTGATATTTTCCATCTGCACATACACACTGATGTAATGTAGACCTTGACCACATGTAGGTTTGCACAATCTGAACCCATGCTGCCTTTGTCTGGACCCCTTATAGCAAGCCTCAGACTGGTGGAGGTGCAGTTTCTCTCACATCAACCCACCACTGTCAGTGTACTCCCCTGTAATGTGAGTGATAAAGGGCACATCCACATCTGCTAGTCCTCCAGGTGGTTTTTCAGAGTATCACAAATACTTAAGCAGCTCCCTGGTTTGGGGTTCCTGTGCTACAGGTGAGCTTTTGTACTTCTGTTTATATTTCACAAAAAAAAAAAAATGTAGAAGGGAAAATAAGGAATATGTGCAGGCTCTTATTCTTAAAAGCTGAAGGCACCCTGCCATCTTCTCCAGGTGCTTCCTCCACAATACACCTGCCACATTGACTCCGTCCCTTGGTCACACAGTTAGCCAGCTACTTGAAGGATAAAGCTCAAAGTCCTGAGCCCAACATTCAAGACCATCCAAAATTCCACCCCAACAGCTCAAAAAAACTCACTTTAAGGAAATTAATATTCTGGCCAAATGGTCCATAAGTTAAATTCTAAAGAGAGCACTGCATCTCTTACCTACCTTCCCTTGCTTATGCTGTTCCTTCTCCTTGGAATGCCTCCTTCCCTCTGTTTATGCCTGTAAAGTCCTACCTAGGTTTTAAGGTCTAATGCGAAACCCGTGTCCTCTAGGAAGGCTCTTCATACCATATTGACTTCATCTTTCCAGAGTACAGTGATTTTTATTGTCTCTAACTACCCTCTGGCACTTACCACAAGCTACTGTAGCAGAAGTTACTATTTTAGTCAAAGGTTATATTTGTTCTGTTCTTTATAAATTCTTAGCCTCCCCAACCCAGCTCAACAACTGTTAGTAATGATGAGTACCCCTTAGTCTGAAATGGTTAATTGAATTTCCCCACCAGTAGACAATGATAGGTTCTCTGCTGAGGCTACTATTGAGTTGGCCAAAAAGTTCATTTGGTTTTTTCCATAAGATCGCTCTAGTAGGACTAAGTTGTCTTAAACTTCATTTGAAGCAATTTTTTTAGATAGTATTGTCACAGCTGTCATATCAGTATGCAATGCAAAAAATTAAAATTGTTGAATTTTTTTGTAGCCATTTTAATATTGAAGATGTAAGAAAACAGGCAACATTTTCGGCATTTGGTGCTTATTGTTTCAAGAAAAGTAAAAACTCAACTGAAACACACACATACAAAGATTCCTGCAGTATATGGAAAAGGTGTTGTGACTGATCGAACGTGTCAAAAGTAATTTGTGAAGTTTCGTGCTGGAGATTTCTTGTTGGACGATGTTCCACGGTCAGGTAGACCAAAATTGAAGTTGATAGCAGTCAAATTGAGACATTATTCAGATCACCTGTCTACCACAGGGGAGCTAGCCAACATACTCAAAATATCCAAATCAATAAAGTTACTGATGAAAATGAAAAATGTGTCTTTCATTTTACTGAACTATATGGACTTTGGGGCCAACGCAACAGTAGTCAAGCCTTCAAATCCCTAGCAGATGATTCAAACATACTAACAACAACTTCTTCTTTTCTTCCTCTTCTTCTTCTTCTTCTTCTTCTTCTTCTTCTTCTTCTTCTTCTTCTTCTTCTTCTTCTTCTTCTTCTTCTTCTTCTTCTTCTTCTCTTCCTCTTCCTCTTCCTCTTCCTCTTCCTCTTCCTCTTCCTCTTCCTCTTCCTCTTCTTCTTCTTCTTCTTCTTCTTCTTCTTCTTCTTCTTCTTCTTCTTCTTCTTCTTCTTCTTCTTCTTCTTCTTCTTCTTCAACAGGTGTAGGGTTTCTGGCTCGGAGAAATCGCTTCAATATAGGTATTGTTTGCTGCCTGTGAGGTCAACGACAGTGTAAGTAATAATAATACATGAATTGTGGATTTGAATGCAGAGTGCTCGGGGCGCGGGCCGGGGGGTGGCGGTGACAGCTTTGGTAGAGGTTTGAAAGTTAACGGTTCCTTCAAACTACCAGGCACCCTTCCTTGGCAGTTAAGTTGCTGGGATAAAATTGAAAAGACTCGGGGCACGTGAGTGGCCGTTGGCCGGTGAGGCGGGGGGCGGGGTCGATTGGAGGGGTGGGTCAAGTGGAAGGGGTGGGCTTTAATCTCCTAGCCCGCTGATTGGCAATCTGCAGCAGTGCCTTGGATGATTGGTCTCTGGCGCGAGGGTTGCCAGGCCTGGCACGTGCTACGGGTTCTAGAATCTAGAAGGTGCAGTCGGTTGCTGCAGAATCTTCGGCAGGTTGGCTCACTCTGTTTTCTTATCCGAAGATGGAAAGGAAGGGCCGGCCATGGGTAGCTGCTGAAATTCAGTGCACTCAATGTGCAAGAAGGGTGACTAGAGTTTCCGGTGAGAATCCCGAGGGTTGGCTTAGCAGTGGGCTGGGTCCAGGCGGCGGGGAGGGAGACAGCGGGGCGAGCGAGGGTAGGAGCAGCTGGGGTGGCGGCAGTTGAGCTGACTGGAAACGGTCTCACAGAACACGTCCCAGCCGCCCCCCAGGGGACCGCGTAGAGCCCGAAGTCGATTTAGGGGACGTCGCTCTTCCTCCGCCGCTTCTCCCGGGCTCTGGGACAGGAAGGACCCTGCGTGCTCTCCCCAGCAGCGGCTTGAAAACGCCACCAGGTTCATGAAAGAATCGATCAATGCCTTGTGGTCAAGACGTAATGAAACTTGATTTTCTTGTGCAGTTTTAGTTGAAGTGACAAGTAGGCCATGTGAAATGTTCCTGAATTAAACAGCTATTAGAGACTTTTTTGGGGGTGGGGGAGGTAAGCTATGGCTCAGTTTGCCATGAAGAATTCCTTTTATGCATCTTGTGTTTTTCTGTGCAAGGCAATAAATACAGAGCCTTCCTATTGATCTGCTATTTTTTTCCCTGTATACAAGCTCTTTATTTTATGTATATTAAACTTTGTTTTAGGTTCACATTGATCTGTTAATTTAGATTCTACTCAAATGAAAGCAGGTTCAAGTTATTTTAATGTAGTTTAAAATGCCTGAGATAGCCTTTGTCTGTGTCAGGGATTAGTTGTTGAATTTCAACACCCAGAGTTACTGAGAAGTCTTGTTACCCTGTGTAATTGTTTGATGTTTGTACTTTCAAAGCGAGCCACTCCATCAGTTTTCTTAGTCCCTCCTAGGTGGACTCAGTTTGGGACTTGTGAACCTGTGTAGAGAAAAATTGGTAAGTTGTGTTTACTGGGTGGAGACCACCTTTCTCCTAATCAGAGTTTGGATTGTGACTGTTACATAGAAAGTCTCCATTGTTTGAAGGAAATAAGTATTACAAAATAAAGTTTTAGAACATAACCTTTTAAAAATCACTGTTTCTTTTATGTACTTGTGTTACAATGCTTAAAAATACTCAGGTGGATAGGTGGTGGTTATGCATCTAGAATGGTGAAAGTACTTTCCCCCTTTGTAAGGAGTAATACACCACAAGTTATTTTGACTTATTCAGTATAAGGAAATTTATAAAGACAACAAACTGTTTTAATACAGTTAAAAAGCTTTTTAACTGTACCAAAAAACAGATAAAGAGTTTTGATTTCTTTGGTACTATCTCTGGAATTTAAATAGAGCTTTAAAAGTTAGCTTGCTAGTAAGCAAGTTTCAGATATTTCAGTTGGCTTAAAAACTAAAGTTTTTTTTTAATTTATTGATTTTAAAGTGAGATAAGAGATTGAGACTGATTTGTTGTTCCAATTACTTTTGCATTCATTGGTTGATTCTTGTATGTGTCCTGACCAGGGGTTGAACTTGTAACCTTGGAGTATTGAAACAACACTCTTAAAGTTTTTTTCAATCAAATGAATGCAGTTATTTATCAGCAAGAACACTAATTTTTTTGCTAGTAAAAGATTACTGATTTTATATAGTTTCCTATTTCCTTTCCTTTTGTCTTGCAGTCTTTTAAAATGACATCCTTTTGAAGTTACATAGCTGAAAATATGCTTATTTTGATAAACTTCAAAATCTACTTAGAAAGTCAAAATCTTGATAATAGCCCTGACTGGTGTGGTTCAGTGGATTGGGCTGAGTCCCACAAACGGAAATGTTGCTAGCTTGATTCCCGGTCAGGGCACATGCCTGGGTTGCAAGCCAGAGCCCCAGTGGGGGCATGCGAGAGGCAACCCCATCGATGTTCCTCTCACACATTGGTGTTTCCCTCCTTCTCCCTCTCTCACTCCCTCTCTAAATAAATAATAAATAAATAAATAAATGAAAAAATAAAAAATTGTTTAATGAAAATCTTGATAATAGGTTTTCAATTAAGATTATGATATTTCCCTCACAAATGTTAGGTTTGTGAAAATGACCTTTACATGGGTCACGTATGTGACAGTAGTAGTATCTAGCTTCTGTCCATGCCAGTGTCTTAGATCATTATAGGGTTGCCAATGTCTCATATCGGCCCTCTCTGTCTGGTTTACAGGATGGGAAATATAAATTAGTAGAGGGCAGTATGATCACGTAGAAAGAACATTGCACTTGGAAACAGAACTAGGCTGGAGTCCGTATTATACCATTTAATTAGCCACATCTCCAAAATGATTTTCCAACTTGAGGTTGAATATAACATTCTCAGCCTTCTTAGCCATGATGTGTACACAGAGTCAATGAAGAATGTCACAGCACTTTGTATGATTATAAGACATGGCAAATTGAAAGCATCATAGGTACCAAAAACTAAATTAATGCAAACAATATTACATACTGTATTTTGCCATGTATAAAGCCCACTTTTTAGCCCAGATTTTTTAGGGAAAATAAGGATGAACATTATACATGGGTAGTATTAATTCCGTATCTATATAAATTTTTTAAATTTATTTTTCCAAATACATTTGTCTCTGCCTTACCCCCACCAATTTCCCTTACCGCCTCCCCCCCTCTCTCCCTCAATCCTTCTCGACCTTGGTTTGTCCATGAGTCCTTTCTATATGTTCCTTGACTTTCCTCTTCCCTTCCTTTTCCCCCACCCCCACTTCCCTCTTCTCTCTGCTGGTTACTTTTCCTTGCAGTGTTGCTGGTCTTATTTTCCTTGCATCTATGTTTTGTTGGTTGGGTTTTGCTTATAGGTGAGATCATATGGTATTTGTCTTTTGCCCCCTGGCTTATTTCACTTAGCATAATGCCCTCTAGTTCCATCCATGCTGTCCCAAACTGTAGTAGTTTTTTCTTCTTTATGCTGCGTAGTATACCATTGTGTAAATGTACCATAATTTTTTGATCCAATCATCTACCGATTGGCTTTTAGGTTGCTTCCAACACTTGGCTAGTGTAAATTGTGCTGCTATGAACATTGGGGTGCAGAGGTTCCTTGGAATTGGCGTTTTGGGATTCTTAGGGTATAGTCCCAGCAGGGGAATCGCTGGGTCAAAAGGCAGTTGCATTTTCAGCTTTTTGAGGAAATTCCACACTGCTTTCCACAGTGCCTGCACCAGTCTGCATTCCCACCAACAGTGGACTAGGGTTCCCTTTTCTCCACAGCCTCGCCAGCACCTGTTGTTTGTGGATCTGTTTATGATGGCCATTCTGACCGGTGTGAGGTGGTATCTCATTGTGGTTTTGATCTGCATTTCTCTGATGGCTAGTGATGCTGAGCATCCTTTCAAATGCCTCTGGGCCCTCTGCATCTCCTCCTTGGAAAAGCGTCTGCCCAGGTCCTTTGCCCATTTTTTGATTGGGTAATGAGCCAATCTTTGTCTTCTTGGAGTGGAGTTCTGTGAGTTTTTTAAGTATTTTGAAGATCAAACCTCTATCTGATGTATCATTAGCAAATATATTTTCCCATACATTTGGCTCCCTTTTGATTTTGCTGATGTTTTCTTTAGCCATGCAGAAGCTTCTTATTTTGATGAGGTCCCACTTGTTCATTCTTTCCTTTATGTCCCTTGCTTTAGGGGACATGGGTGAAGAAATTGCTGCGTGGGATATCTGAGAGTTTCCTGCCAATGTTCTCCTCTAGGACTTTGATGGTATTGCGACTTATATTTAAGTCTTTTATGCATCTTGAGTTTATTTTTGTGTATGGTGTCAGCTGATGATCCAATTTCAATTTTTTGCATGTAGCTGTCCACCTCTCCCAAGAGCATTTGTTGAAGCGGATATTATTGCTCCATTTTATGCTTTTGCCCCCTTTGTCAAATATTAGTTGCCTATATAGACCTGGGCTTATTTCTGGGCTTTCTATTCTGTTCCACTGGTCTATGGGTCTGTTCTTGTGCCAGTACCAGATTGTTCTGAGTATAGTGGCTTTGTAGTAGAGTTTGATGTTGGTATGGTGATCCTTCCTACTTTGTTTTCCTTTCTCAAAAACGCTGCGGCTATTCGGGGTTGTTTTTGGTTCCATATAAATTTTTGATATGCCTGTTCCATTTCTGTGAAATATGTCATTGGTATCTTAATAGGGATTGCGTTGAATCTATAAATTGCTTTTGGTAGTATGGACATTTTGATGATATTAATTCTTCCAATCCATGAGCACGGTATATGCTTCCATTTATTTGTGTCTTCCTTAATTTCTTCCTTCAGTGTTGTATAGTTTTCTGCATACAGGTCTTTTACCTCCTTGGTTAAACTTATTCCTAGGTACTTTATTTTTCTTCTTGCTACATTGAATGGTATTTTTTTTTTCTGATTTCTTCTTCTTTTTCATTGCTGTTGTATAAAAATGCCTTTGATTTCTGAATATTGACTTTGTATCCTGCTGTTTTGCCAAATTCTCTTATTAGGTTGAGTAGTTCTTTGGTAGAGTCTACGGGGTTTTCTATGTACACTATCATGTCATCTGCAAACAATGATAGTTTTACTTCCTCCTTTCCTATTTGGATGCCTTTTATTTCTTTCTCTTGTCTGACTGCTGTGGCTAGGACTTCCAATACGATGTTGAAAAGAAGTGGTGAGAGCAGACTCCTTTGTCGTGTTCCCGATATTAGTGGGAAAGCTTTTAGTTTTTGCCCATTGAGTATGATGTTGGCTGTAGGTTTTTCATATATGGCCTTTATTATGTTGAGGAATACCCCATTTATTCCCATTTTGCTGAGTGTTTTGATCATAAATCAAATGGGTGCTGTACCTTATCGAATGCTTTTTCTGCATCTATCGAGATGATCATGTGGTTTGTCTTTCCTTTTGCTTATGTGATGTATTACGTTTATTGCCTTGCGTATATTGAACCATCCCTGCATGCCTGGGATGAATCCCACTTGATCATGGTGGATAATCTTTTTAATGTATTGCTGCATGCGGTTTGCCAATATTTTGTTGAGGATTTTAGCATCTCTGTTCATCAGCGAAATTGGCCTGTAGTTTTCTTTCTTTGTAGCGTCTTTCTCTGGTTTTGG